ATTACCAACAGTGAAACATAAGACACACATTTTTAAACACTGACAACATATTTTTTACCCGGCTTGAAATGCTGACACCGGTTCTAACAACTTGCCACCGTTTTCCTTTGTTCACCACAGGGATCACAGGAATGTGTGCAAATGAAAGGGTCAAAACAAAACTTACTACTTCCAAAGTAAGTGCAGTAGACCCAGGACCAGAGGGAATCAGTTTCAATGGACTATGGAAAGTGTATCATCCATGCGGAGCAATATAAATGTTTCAAGCCTATATTTACAAGGTTACGTTTGTAAAGGAGAGATCAGCGGTTAGAGCTGTGATCTTTTTGACAGACTCATTGCTGGGTTGGAAGAGACGTTTTTTAGAGTTTATAACTCAGTAGAAAAACAGTGGGAAATGTACAAACACTTATTTAGAAAGCATAGTGAAATGTCTACAGGCATAACGCTTAGACACAGACGAGTGCATTGACAAATTTAGCGAGCAACCTTCCAAGTGTGCACCCCGAAGACGCGTTAGCGCACGCTACGTATGACAAGCACAGTCCTTGTACAACCAGTAGTTTATGAATTGGGTTGTGGCATCCTCACATATACTCTGTGGGACAGCATGCTCAGGGACGGGCTTCACCCCGTCACAGTTTCACTCTTGTTTCATGCTATCCTTATGTACAGTGTTGTCCCTTGTGTGACTTGTGTGTAGTTTTATAACCCTCACCTGAGCCACATGTAGTATAATTCATTCAATTTAATTTATTATTGTATAGCCCTAAATCACAACAGCAATTATCTCAGAGGACCGTCAAATTTTCCAACACAGACCCGAGAATCAAACAATTCAAACACCGAAAATGAAATAATTAATAATACAAAGAGCCATTGGTCCATAAGAGGCAGATGACCATTGTCTATTAAATGATCATCACCACAGGCCTTGTGCATTGGCAAGGAACAACAACAACAAAAAACAGCGGGAATATAAGTGAGAAACTTTTTATCATATGATTTACTCTAAAACAACTGTTAGTGATGAATGACGATTGATAATGACTTAAAAATAGCTGTAAACTGTGAAAAAAACAATGCAATGTGCCTGACAATGTATTTCTCTTATTACTGGTACTGCAAAGTTGTCATGCTGGAAACCCATTACACAAATTAAACAGATCACAATAGACCCCTGAATACAATTCGCTCGCAATTTCTGTCCCTCAACTTGCTCAGTGCTGCGTCAAGGGTAGTGCCCACTGAAATGGACTTTTGTCATTTCAACCACACCCCAAACATTCAGGTTTTCCACTGATGTATGCTCGTATTATGCAAGAAGCCGTGTTTTAGTTCCTCTCCTCTCAAAGCGCCCCTTCAGCAGTCTCTGGAAAATCTGGTCTTTATGTGCTTGTTTTAAGAGCAGCTCTTTCTCGTGGTTGGTGAATGGCAAAGGTGTAGCAGCCTGTTTTTATTCCAGACACACACGGGGTCACAATGCCACCTTTCCCTAATGCTTTGTACATGGTCAACAGAGGCGTTTATGGCCCAGACAGCTTTGGTTATACTCTTTCGATAGAACATGAGTTGGACTGTGGCCGATGATAATCAATGAGTTGTTCTTGTGCAGTGTTTTCAAAGGTTCTATATGTTATGCAATTGCTATTTTTGAGATTTCATCCACATTACTGCAGATGCACTCACCACCTGCAGGAGGATCAGTGAGGGGCTGGTGCTCTGTGAAATGGGTGCAGGGAAGAAAATGGATGGATGTTATGCAATTGCTATTTTTACGATTTTATCCACGTTACGATATTGTTCTCTTAAACAGATCTGTTTTAAGATCAGTCCACACTGATATCAGGAACTTCTGTTCCTTCTGTTCCTGATATCATTCCTGATATCATTCCTGTTCCAGGAATGGTCGGATAAGATACAACCGAGGTAACCACAGGCACTAAAATCAGATCAAGACGTACATGAAGGGAAATGATAATTCACCGGAGTTTACGCATGGTTAAGGCCAGGCTACACCGGTCCATAAGGGGCTGATGACCAATGTCCATAAATGTTGTTGAATGTTGAATGTCCTGGATCATCAATCAATCAATCAATCAAATTTATTTATAAAGCACAATTCATACAGTGTAACCCAAAGTTCTTCACAAGCAATAAAAACAGTGTATATGCATATCAAATATTGTAATTTAAAAAAATTGTAAAAGTTAAGAACATTTAAAAAATAAATACTTCAGATTAGTCATATGCATACCTGAATAAGACAGTTTTCAGCCTGGACTTAAACATTGCCAGGGTCGAGGCCTGTCTCACAAGCTCAGGGAGACTGTTCCAAATTCTGGCTGCATAAATTTGAAATGCCGCCTCCCCATGTCCAGTCCTGACCCTAGGCACCAGCAGGAGGCCAGTCCCTGTGCTCCTCAGCGTCCTAGCCGGCTCATATGGCGCTAACATTTCTCGAATATACTGTGGTGCACCACTGTCCTCAGACCCTCCTGCATCGGCAAGGAAAAACTTGGGGAGGCCCACAGACAGAAAGCTTTTTTTCCCATTCATACCTGTTTCCCCAGAGTTTTTTTTCCATTTGATATATTGTTTCATATTCTAAAACATGAACTGACAGAAAGAAACTTGTCTCATTACCTTTTTAATGGCTAAAAATAATTGTAATATTTCTTCTTTAGTTTGTGTCGAGAATTCCCAGCCTCATTAAGAGGAACACTTTAACCCCATTGTCATCAAAACCAATATATAGAATCTACTGCAGTCAACAAAATTACATACCATTGAATTAGATTTTAGCAGCGATTATGTCTGTTGTAATTACTGCGTGTTTACAAATTGTTGCTTACATTAACCATGTAGAAACTCATTTAAAGTTGTGTTGGCTTAACTGGTGTTGTCACAGTGTGGGTCTTGTTCGTTTCCTGCGTTCATTAGAAGCAGCTCATGAGGTGAGGGACTAAATGAGTCCTACACCACATAACTGAAGCTAATTGCCTCCAACGCTGCAAATCTTTCCCATGTTGAATCTATTTATATCAATATGCAAAGTGATTAGAGATTATAGTTCCAGCATGGAGGTCCTTGGACAACAATATAACTGTATAAATTGTTGTGTTGTGGAAAAAATTGATTCTGTTTAATCCAATCCAATCCACTTTATTTCTATAGCACATTTAAACAACAGAACAGTTCCAAAGTGCTGCACACAAAAAAAGAAAAAAAAGAAAAGTACACAAAAAAAAGCTCCATGTAGCTCAACCAGTCAATAAAATAGAATAAAAAATAGTCATCACAAATGGTATAAATAATTAAAATAGGAAATAAATAATCAATTTATGAAAACACTAAAAAGATAAAATAAAGCAGAATTAATAACAATAAATGGGTAAAAGTGAATAAAGAAATAAAATAAATAAAAAGACACAGGGACCACACAACTAACGCGGTGTTAAAAGCCAGAGAATAAAAGTGGGTTTTAAGACGAGATTTAAAACACTCAGTATCAAAATATTTTACGCACGCAATTAAATCAATACAGTAAAGTTTTGCGATATTTGATTTAAGAAATATCACAGATTAATTTTATTTGCCATTTGCAGTAAAACCACGTTGGAATACATTTGCAAAAGTCCCCAGTGTGCACAAGATATGTACATGACTAAAACATGATTTCAGAACAAAATTGATCCTTAATGGTAACGAAGTCTCACTTTGGCAAATTTGGCCAAATTTTTATTTAATTCATTGGTGTAAAATATGAAATAATTTCTTTATCATGTATTAACTTATTTACGCCTACGCTTTCAAAACAAGGAAAATTCATTCAATTCTATCTATAGAACTTTACACTATATGTGTAATGCAATTATGTAATTGGAGAAACGAAAATATGTTTTACAATGTCGCGCAAAATACAAATTCAATCCACCCCTCTGCTTCATGAACTCAGTTTGCAGCGGCTCTTCTCTAGGAGCATTTGCATCGGCACTCTTCAACCGGGACCAGGTATTATTTAGGTGAAAAAGAGAGCAGTGAAAAACACCTAATTTAGAGGGATGAACTCATTTCTTCAGCATATATAAAATAATTTACACCTGTTGTGACTGAAATGTCAATGTATTTGAAAAATTTCAATGCAAAGAATAGAGTAGAGGTAGAATAGAGTAGAGGTACAGTAGAGTAGGGGGGGTAGGGCAAGCTGGTGGAAACAGGGCTGTAGTCCAACGCAATAAGGGTGTGTCTGATTGCTAAATATAGACTTTCCTTGAAGTCTATCCATCTGTCTATCTAAATGGAGAAATCTTCTCATCACAAATCAGCCTCAGACTCAATACAGGGACTAAAAATAGGACTGAAAAGGGACTACATTACATCTCCACTGAAAACAAACTCCAGTTGGCATGAGTATGATTTACCGTTGCTTCGCGGGTCCATGTGTAAATTCATTCTAATCAGTATGGCCTGCAAATAGCTCATTATAAAACATAATTTACATGCTAAAATATTTGGTTGAAGGGAGGCTGTATATGATTGACAGTTTAGCATTCATTTCCATCTTTTCTGTAAAATTATTTTGTGTTTGGTGGCGGTGCATGGCTGTCCAAGCTGTTATCTTATTAACACGATTACATGACTGCAATCTGAGCCTTGGCTGGTGCTTCTGTGAGGATAGCAAGAAATTTGTTCTGTCCTCGTGCCAAGGACATGTAGAAAATGTCCAAGAAATGCTGAGAAATCATACAAAATAGTTAATTCTTGGGGTCGTAAAGTGTGTTTAGAAATAGACACTTGCATTTTGTGAGCGAATGCAATCTCAATGAGAAGGGTGATAGAAAATATAGAGCCACACGGTAAATTTAGTGTGTGAACAGATGGCTCAATTCTTGGGATTCTTGGAGCTCGGCTTTTGCAATCTGGTGGCGCTAAACCCGAAATATCCCTCAAAATAAAGATAGTTAATCTCTTTCTAAACTGTTTTTGTCTCTTCCAAGGAAACTCCAAAGGCAAACGTCAGAAGAAGATTCTCTACCGGACGCAAAACTACTTGAACCAGTACGCTGCTGACGGACTGCGGACACTCTGTATCGCTAAAAAGGTACAAAGACATTCAATCACATGTTTATAGACAGGTCAAGGTGCAGCCATTTGGGTTACCAGACATGTCCAATGATAGATAGACAGACAATTAGATAGATACTTTATTGATCCCCGTAGGAGAAATTCAGGTGTCCAGCAGCAGAAAACACATCTACTGTATATAAAAACATAAGATGTATACGTAGAGACATAGAGAGATAAATAGATAATTTATTGATCCCCCTTAAGAGAAATTTAGGACAGCTCCGACAACCCAGACTATAAAACTAATTTGCATTCATAAAACTAATTTGGCATTCGAGCTGTTTTGGTTTTTAAAATGGGTATGATTTTATGTCCATATTGATTCACATCACACCTACATTAGCCTGGCCTTAGCCATCCGTACACTCAGCTCAATCATCATTTTCCTGCATGCTACGTCTGGGTCTGGTTGAATTCCATCCAACCAATCAGCGAGTGCGGGAGGCGGATGTTGTAATTAGTTGTGGGTGACGTCAAGCGTTTGCGCCGAACGGGCAGGTTGTAGTTCGGTAATGGCGAAGAAAGCGATAGTAAAGTAATCCGGTCTGCTTCAATCAAGAAATTGAATCCGGAGCAAGAGGAATGTTTAGCAAATGTAATCGCTGGCCCAAATTGTGGTGCTACTCTCCACGGGCTCCGTTAGCGGCAAAGGAGATGGCTAGGCTAAATGCTAAACGCTAACGACTCACTCGGGCGCATTACATACGTCACGGTAAACTCAGATCAGTCGTTTCAATCTGCAAAAGGAGTTAACCCCTCCCACCTGTTAACGGAGCTCAATGAAGCACCTCCAGACCTTAGTATGAAATGTAATTTGTACTATGGTGTGGTAAGACCAGGCTACACCTACTTTAATGCCATCTAAGAATTTTGTGACTCAATCAAAAACAAATGTCTGTATACAAGTAAAGTTAACAACAGAACTATTCCAAAGGTTCTGAGCTTTACAACAACATATGACTACATTTGTGGAGCTGAAGTTGGCTGGGTGATGCTGTGAAAGTGCCTCAATGGCTACTTTTTGTGAGCAAGGCAGAAATATATGTGCAAACATGTGCATTCTCCAATTATGGAGGGTTTTAGTTAACAAAAATTGAATAGTTACTGTAATAGATTCTTTATAGATCCCTGTAGGAGAAAATCAAGTGTCCAGCAGCAGATACACATCCATCCATACAAACACATAAGTACATAAATTCTAAAAGTTTCGAACTAACTTACAACGATAGTGGACAATGCTAACCCGCTTGCTTAATTTAAATTAAATCTCAATTAAAGTTTGCAGCCAAACAGCATACAACAAGCGTACATGTCGTCAGCTGGCTGGCCTTTTTAGATTCAATCATCATTTGAAATATTTGGCTGTTTTGAAATAGCAGTAGTTACATTAGTCATACTATGTTTGGCCTGTCCATGCATGGCGCTCCTATCCAACACGGTCACATTGTTTACAAACATAAATGCTCTATACATTTTGTGCAGCGGAGGTGGTTGACGACGTGTCTGTTCCGTCATGAACGACCAATTATTCTGGTGACTCAGCTCCAATCTGTACCGCTCTCATACACTGATAATTTATGTCATCACATCCGCCTCATTATTTGCGAGCTTCTGCGATACAGAGCCTGTCATAAAAAGCCCTGACTTTGTCCAATGGTTCCCTGTCTTAAAAAAGGCAAATAGGTGCGTATGTTTAGCAGAACTGACATGATTCCCTGTGTAATGTATTGCTATAGAGAATCTAGATAATGAACAATATTCTATTGAAACCACTTTATTCCACTGAACCATTAGGAATTCAATTATGCTATTCTTACTTGAATTATTCAAAAGCAGAATTTGCTACTTCCGCCAGTCCATAATGCTTTGCAACCTGGGGGCAGTCATATCCTAGTTTTCCTTATGCACACAATCTAAAATCCTCATATATGAGACTAATATTAGCATCCATAAACCGACAGACAAGTTGAAAACCCTGAATGGATCTGTACCTTAAAAACTCTCATATTCCTTGTTTATTTTAGATGGTGCTGTTCTTCAAACGGCCTGCAGATGGCAATCATTACTATTGTTTTGGTGCATTGCCGACACTGAGACTGTGGTTTCAAGTGTTCCTGTGATCCTCAAGCTTTCAAAATCACCATATAGTTTTCCTTCTCAGCCTTCTAACTGGGACTCTTGCTCTTCTACAACTCAGGAATTACACAGAAAATGACTTTACTGCATGTACAGATTCTATAGGAGCGACCCCCTCCCCCATCACTAGCAAATTAACCAAATATCCACCAAACCTACTCTACTCTACTCTACTTTACTCTACTCATCTCTACCCGGTCGTGTTTCCATTCCATTTTCGACCAAATCACCCAAAAACAGTGACAGTGATGATCCAGGACATTTTTTGAACATGTTTTTGCATTTCCTGTGTTCTAATTGTTTTATTCTCTGATCTGTTGTTGCCAAATTGACAGTTTTGTAAAGTACCCCGTGGCGACTGCTGTTCTGAATAAAGGCTAATAGAATTGACATAGCAGCTTTCACAGGAAAAATAAATTACAAAGTGCTTTGCAAAACGTCATAAAACAGAAAAGTGTAAATGGGGATTCGACAGGATTCAACAAATATTCTAATGTTACAGTCATCCCTTTACCACGTTTGACGCATGCTTTGTTGTTTTTCTGTTGTATATCTTTGTCTTTTCACTTGTATTTCGCGTTTGGTCTCACACAGGTGTTGTCAAAGGAGGAGTATGCATGTTGGCTGCAGCGCCACCTTCAGGCAGAGACGTCCATCCAGGGCCGAGAAGAGCTGCTGTTTGAGTCTGCACTGAGGCTGGAGACCAACCTGCACCTGTTGGGTAACGCACGCTTTAAAGGGGCTCTACCTGAGCTTTACCGTCCACAGAATAAGGCCATTTTTAACAGTTAGCAGCAGCGCAAGCTTATTCCAAATGTGTCACACCATATTTAGTGACTCCAATTACTTTATCACTTTCAAACTTTGATGTCTTGGACGATTTTTCTAAATTTTCAGAGGAGAAAGCTGTCTGTCAAACAGGGGAAACTTGCTAAATACATTTATGAATAAAGTTACTTTAGATCAGGGGTCTCCAACCTTTTGTACAACAGAACTGGCAGAGAAGCTCCTTTTTGCAGTCGTAATAAAAATCTGACAGTCTGATATATTTACGACAAAAGATGGAGAACACATGTAAAATATATCATAAAACCTTATATTTCATCATAGATATGTGTTTAATGACTCAAAATGCATTAATTCAAGATCATGTGTTACAATTTAATTTACCAAACAAGTTTAGTTGAGGGCGACGGTGGCTCAGTTGGTTGAGCATTGGCCTTTGAGCCGGAAGGTTCAAAGGACCTTCTCCACCGACTCTCACTGACGTCTTCTGTCGTTGTGTCCTTGGGCAAGACACTTTGCCTGAAGCCCCCGCTGAAAGACCATGGCGATGTTATAGAGCAGCCATCCTCCTGTGGACTCACCACCTGCAGGATGATCAGAGAAGGGCTGGTGCTCTGTGAACTGGGTGGCATCTCTGGCAACCCCCCCCCCCCAACCCAGAAATGCATTAAGGGGTATAAAATGGATGGATGGAGTTTAGTTATAATAAATAAATAATAAATAATGAGTTCACGCACATACACACACACACACACACACACACACACACACACACACACACATGCAAACACACACACACATATGCAGACAAACAGAAACACACGCAGACACTCATCACACACTGATAAGATTTGCCTTTTCAAGAGGCAAATCTTGAAATGTTTTGTCTTCGATAAAGCTAAAAATAACTCCATGATTTTAAAGAGGGAACAGAGTTGTGTCATGGTTAAAAACTCAAAAAATCCTGTTGTTGTTGTTGCCTAAAATGTCGAGCAACATCAATAACTCAGAGAAATCTATGTATTCTGTAAATAGACTTGAAGGACTTTGGAGGTGATCTGTCTTTGCTCTCCCTCCTCTCTGACCTCAGGAGCGACGGGGATCGAGGACCGGCTTCAGGACGGCGTTCCGGAGACCATCGAGTCCTTGAGGAGGGCGGGATTACAAGTATGGGTGCTCACCGGTGACAAACAGGAGACTGCCATCAATATTGCATACGCCTGTAAACTGCTGGACCCAGAGGAGGAACTGCTCACTCTGAACGCCGACTCCCAGGTAAATTTTTGTTTTAATAATTTATTCTAATAGAAGGTCGACATATTGATTACTTGGTTACAATACGGGTGGAAATTGGCAAAAATGTGATGATTCGACATTTGATATTTGGGCCACAATTCAATCTTATTGCTATTCTTAACATATTGCAATACAGCAAGTAGCCTGGCCTTATGGTGCGTTCAGACCGGATCATGCGTTGCGTCGGGTTTCAATAGAAAGTCTATGGTGGCGCACGTTCGACCGTCACAACGCACGGACCTCTCGGCACGAACGAACGGACTGTTCAATAATGACGCACGGACTTGGCGGGAAAGTGAAAAGGGAGGAGCAGGAGCGAAAAATCGAGATGGACGCCCACAGGAGATGGATTCTGCTCATCTCCTTAGGACGTTTGTGCGACAACCAATCAGAGAGCAGCAAAGTGGTCACGGGGGGACATTAGCGGACTGAGCGTCACGGGGGGGCATTAGCGGACTGAGCGTCACGGGGGGGCATTAGCGGACTGAGCGAGCAGACTGAAAATACTCGTAAACAGCCAAAACAGGACCCACACCAGGCTTCACCAGAACTCAAACCAGGGTTGACAATGGGGGACTCTGTGCTTGTGAAAATATGCGTTGTCATGCTCCCGTAACCTTATGCAACGGCTTCGAGTGTGTTCGCCAATGCGGAAATTCCGTTTAATAATATGAAAAAAAAACGTATGCCGCACCTCCGTGAACACATACTACTGTTATATAAAGCCCGTGGGATGTCTGTGAGCAAAGACACGCTGCAAAGCTGCATATTGGAGAAGATCTGAGAAGGTGCTAGCATAGCTCTGTTAGCATTAGAGCCGGCCGGCTACTTCCGGTACTTCCGGCTCGCGTCAGGACGTTCTGGTGTGAAGTCCTCTGCGTCTGAAAACTAGAGAATGCGCGTCTGGTGAGCGGGGCTTCCGCGTTTCAGCGTTGGCGGTCTGAAAGCCCAATTAGCCATCCGTACACTCCGCTCAATCATCATTTCCCTGCATGTAACGTCTGGGTCTGGTCCCCATGTTAGAAATTGAATCCGGAGCAAGGGTATTGTTTAGCAAATGTAATCGCTGGAAAAAATTGTGGCACTACTCCCCACGGGCTCCATTAGCAGCAAAGGAGATGACTAGGCTAAATGCTAAATGCTAACAACACACTCGGGCGCATTAGGTACGTGACGGTAAACTTAGATCCAATCGTTTCAATCTGCAAACGGTGTTAACCCCTCCCACCTGTAAACGGAGCTCAATGGAGCACCTCCAGACCTTAGTATGAAATGTCATTTGTACTATGGTGTGGTAAGACCAGGCTAATACAGCAAGTATTCTGCGATGTTTTGTGATTCATGTCCCTCATATTATTAAAATGCCAATTTCTCACATCACCAAAAAACTGATATCCTCCAGCTCAAACTCTGATCAGGATGGACAAGATGGATCAAAACTTAGGCAGTGCAAAAACATTTTCCTTGAACATTTATAACACAGTACCTTATTACAGACAATTCTCATATGAATGGTTTGCTCCCAGCACATCCCTTACATTATTCACATACAACAGACTGGAGTCACAAAAAGCAATCATCACATAAGCCTCAGATGTAAATTCAGAGAAAACACAAAATTAAAACTGATAATTATTTAATTAGTTATTGCAATACTGAACAAAATAAAAAAAATCACACATTTTCTCAGTATTGTGATATCTCCATTTCTGACTATGTATTGTACTTTGGTATTCACGTATGGTACTGAAGACAATGTATCGTATTTTATACAAGGTCAAAACAAGTAGCACCAACTGCGCTCTGGTCTTTATCCACATTCCATAAAACACAGTAAAATGAAATGCAGACACTTTAGATATTATTTCATTGGGCACTGGTGGCAGGTGGAGTGTGATGTTTAGTTCTGGTCTGGGGGCAGCAGCTGTTTGCCAAATGTGTGTTTCTTTCTCTCTCTCTGTCTCTCTCTCCTCTCTCTCTGAATTGTGCAAAATGAACTATTAAAATTTCACTTGTGCTAATTTTTTTAGCCAAGTGAATAATGGTCTAATTACTTAAAGTGACTTGTTAAAAGGTGTTGAGTGGGACACACATAGACTGTAATAAAAAGGACAGAAAGTTCAAAAATGTGTTACTCTTGCATTCATTTGGCTACAGATAAAAGGAGCTTAAAAGGGCTTTTGTGTGTGTTTTGTTTTCATGTGTGTGAGAAGAGAGGGTGTGTGTGTTTTTTGTATTGTATGAGGGAGAGGAGGAGGAGCCCAGTAAGCATTTGCTTTGTCTGACCTCTTTTTAAACTGAACTTCTGCATCTTGTTTGTTTTATAAGATGAGACAAAACTTTATTGATCTCTCAATGGAGAAATTGTCATGTGAAATTTGGCATAAATAGGATCACTCAGGGTGTGCAAAAAGACAGAAAATAAGAAATGTCTTGAAAAAAAAAACAAAGTAAGTGAAGTGAGTATTTTTTATGCAATATAGGTATTTTATGTACAATTAAAATGGAAAAGAGACTATAGCAGTATGAAATGTTTAACTTTGAAAAAAGTACTTGCTTTAATGTACACTTAATGGTCCCCATAGGAAAATAATCCCTGAATTCAACTGAAATATGAAAATGTGAAGATCTGAATGTTGATCTATCTAAATAGCAGCAGTAAATCTTCTCCTTGTCTCTGAACCAGGAGGCCTGTGCTCTGCTGCTGGAGGAGAGCTTACACTACATCCAGGCCAAATTCCTCTGCACCACCTCAGACCAAACCGCCAAGAACTACCTGTCCCATGTGGCGGGCGCCGACGTGTGCACCGCGCTGCCGGTCCACAGGCTGGGGCTGGTAATCGACGGGCGTACGCTGGCCTATGCTCTGGACCGCAGCCTGGAGGACAAGTTCCTGGCGGTGGCTCGGAGCTGCAGGTCGGTGCTGTGCTGCCGGTCCACTCCGCTGCAGAAGAGTATGGTGGTCAAACTGGTGCGCAACAAGCTCAAGGTCATGACTCTGGCCATTGGTGAGTGTTGAGGATACATTTACTGTAATTAATTATTTTCATTTTTTTAAATGGACATGACAATAACATAAGACGAACCAGATACATTGCTGTAAGTGTTATAGCAATGGTTTTCAACACTAGTCCACAGGACTTTTACAGATAGAATACATTTCAAACAATTACAATAAAATGAACAGCTCTGCCTGGATCTTAACCACTGTTTGAGCTCTCTGCTGAAGATAGTCATGTTAGTCTGTAGTTTTAGTCCAGTGGGGAGAGAGTTTCACAGTTTAACCCTTGAAAGGGAAGCTGGATTGTCCAATGGATAAATAGAAGCACACAGTCCCACTGACTGAGGCTCTAAGAGCAGACTGACCTTTCAGCATGAGCCCAGAGAACAGAGGTGACACACATTTGTTCGAACAGTTAAAAGCCAATTTTAAAATGGACATTTAAAACATTTTTAAAGTTTGTGCTTCTGTATGACATCACATAATGCCATCTCATTAGTTTCTTGTCCATGACCTTAATCATGCGTTTACACAGAAAGGGAACTGGTTTGAGAATGAAAGCTGTAATTTCCAGACAATAAACCGCTACTTTTTCTAGTTCTTTGAATCTTTCGGGTTATGTAGTGATGGGGCTAATGTATGTATTTTTATTGTTATAGTTAGAGCAGAGTTTATGCACGTTTTTGGCAAAATATATTAAGGTGAAGGAGTCATGGAAGATCAGGCATTTTCAGGCCGCCTCTACGCAGTAAAGAGAAAACAAAAAGTGCACTTCAGGTTTGATTATTTTCCAAGCAAATGACAAACATGCAGTTTGCAGTCTTTCCCATGCTGGTAAAAAAACATATGCCCAAAAATGCCTCCAAGCTGCATCCCGCAAGCTGCGCCCTCCCTCCAGAGCGATATTTATGGTCTGGAGCCTTAATTCACATAGACCTCAATTAGAATGCTTCCCCCGCAACCCAGGAACTTATTAAGCGAAAGAAAATGAATGGATAGATTCACACGCTCCACTTTTCTGGTGTATCTCGCGGGGAGAGGCGGCGAGCTGGGGTGGCCATACTCATTGCCCCCCATCTCAGCCGCCACGTGTTGGAGTTCTCCCCGGTGAATGAGAGGGTCGCGTCCCTCCGCCTTTGGGTGGGGGACAAGTCTCTCACTGTTGTGACGGCCTACGGGCCTAACAGCAGTGCAGAGTACTCGGCCTTCTTGGAGTCCTTGGGAGGGGTACTGGACAGTGCACCGCCCGGGGACTCCGTCATTCTCCTGGGGGACTTTAACGCCCATGTGGGAAGCGCCAGTGACACTTGGAGAGGGGTGATCGGGAAGAACGGCCCCCCTGATCTGAACCCGAGTGGTGTTCAGTTGTTGGACTTCTGTGCTAGTCACGGTTTGTCCATCACGAACACCATGTTTGAGCACAAGGGTGTCCACCAGTGCACGTGGCACCAGGACACCCTAGGCCGGAGGTCGATGATCGACTTTGTTGTCGTATCATCTGACCTTCGGCCGCGTGTTTCGGACACTCGGGTAAAGAGAGGGGCAGAGCTGTCAACCGATCACCACCTGGTCGTGAGTTGGATCCGCTGGCAGGGGAGGAAGCCGGTCAGACCTGGCAGACCCAAGCGTGTAGTGAGGGTTTGCTGGGAACGTCTCGCTGAGACCCCTGTCAGACGGACTTTCAACTCACACCTCCGGGAGAGCTTCTCCCAGGTCCCGGCGGAGGAGGGGGATATTGAGTCTGAGTGGACCATGTTCTCTTCCTCTATCGCCGATGCGGCGGCTCGTAGCTGTGGTCGCAAGGTCTCTGGTGCTGGTCCCGGCGGCAACCCCCGAACCCGGTGGTGGACACCGGCAGTAAGGGATGCCGTCAGGCTGAAGAAGGAGTCCTATCGAGCCATGATGGTTCGGGGGACTCCTGAGGCAGCTGTCCAGTACCGGCAGGCCAAGCGTGCCGCGGCCCGGGCTGTTGCAGAGGCAAAAACCCGGGACTGGGAGGAGTTCGGAGAGTCCATGGAGCATGACTATCGGTCGGCCTCGAAGAGATTCTGGCAAACTGTCTGGCGCCTCAGGAGGGGGAAGCAGTTCTTTGCCAACACCGTGTACGGTGCGGGGGGTGAGCTGCTGACCTCGACCGGGGATATTGTCGGACGGTGGAAGGAATACTTCGAGGTTCTCCTCAATCCCCCCGTCACGTCCTCCGCTCCGGAGGCAGAGGCTGAGGATGTTGGGGCGGATACTTCTGTCACCCTGGCAGAGGTCACCAAGGTGGTTGGCAGCCTCCTTGGTGGCAAGGCGCCGGGAGTGGATGAGATCCGTCCTGACTATCTAAAGTCTCTGGATGTTGTAGGACTGTCTTGGCTGACACGTCTCTGCAACATCGCGTGGCGATCGGGGGCGGTGCCAATGGAGTGGCAGACCGGGGTGGTGGTTCCTCTCTACAAGAAGGGGGACCGGAGGGTGTGTTCCAATTATCGTGGGATCACACTCCTCAGCCTCCCTGGTAAGGTTTACTCCAAGGTACTGGAGAGGAGGTTACGGCCGATGGTCGAATCTCGGATTCAGGAGGAGCAGTGTGGTTTTCGTCCCGGCCGTGGAACACTGGACCAGCTCTACACTCTCCATCGGATACTCGAGGGTTCATGGGAGTTCGCCCAACCTGTCCACATGTGCTTTGTGGATTTGGAGAAGGCGTTCGACCGTGTTCCCCGGGGTGTCCTTTGGGGGGTCCTCCGTGAGTACGGGGTCCGGGGTCCTCTGCTGAGGGCCGTCCGGTCCCTGTATGACCGGAGCCAGAGCTGCGTGCGCATTGCCGGCAGTAAGTCAGACCTGTTCCCTGTGCACGTTGGCCTCCGCCAGGGCTGCCCTTTGTCACCGGTTCTGTTCACTGTATTCATGGACAGAATTTCTAGGCGCAGCCAAGGGTTGGAGGGGGTCCGGTTCGGGGACCACAGGATTTCATCTTTGCTGTTTGCAGACGATGTTGTCCTGTTGGCTCCAACGAACCAGGACCTACAACATGCACTGGGACGGTTTGCAGCCGAGTGTGAAGCGGCTGGGATGAGAATCAGCACCTCCAAATCTGAGGCCATGGTGCTCGACCGGAAAAAGGTGCCCTGCCCTCTTCAGGTGGGTGGAGAGGCCCTTCCTCAAGTGGAGGAGTTCAAGTATCTTGGGGTCTTGTTCACGAGTGAGGGAAGGATGGAGCGTGAGATTGACAGGCGGATCGGTGCAGCGTGCGCAGTGATGCGGTCGCTGTATCGGACCGTTGTGGTGAAGAGGGAGCTGAGCCGAAAGGCAAAGCTCTCAATTTACCGGTCAATCTTCGTTCCCTCCCTCACCTATGGTCATGAGCTTTGGGTAATGACCGAAAGAACAAGATCGCGGATACAAGCGGTCGAAATGAGCTTCCTCCGCAGAGTGGCTGGGCGCTCCCTTAGAGATAGGGTGAGGAGCTCAGTCACACGGGAGGAGCTCGGAGTAGAGCCGCTGCTACTCCACGTCGAGAGGAACCAGTTGAGGTGGCTCGGGCATCTGTTCCGGATGCCTCCTGGACGCCTCCCTGGGGAGGTGTTCCGGGCACGTCCCACCGGGAGGAGGCCCCGGAGAAGACCCAGGACACGCTGGAGGGACTATGTCTCTCAGCTGGCCTGGGAACGCCTTGGAGTCCCCCCGGACGAGCTGGAGCAGGTGTGTGTGGATAGGGAAGTCTGGGCGTCTCTGCTTAGACAGCTGCCCCCGCGACCCGGCAACGGATGAAGCGGAAGAAAATGGATGGATGGATAAGCTCGAGGCAAGTACCAGGCTTTATGATCCCACAATGTTGAGGCGAATCCAAGCTCACTCCAGTCTAAAGATATGAACCGGTTATCAACATAAGCATTGGTGGATTTCACAAGTGAGATAAATGTGTCTTTAGTTTGAATCTTGAAACGACGCCAGTCCTTGAAAGTCTCGGTTTGTCCCTATGTGAACTTTGCATCTGGCAACAGTGTAACGATGGCATAATGCAAGCTCTGAACTAGTTTTTCTTAGTAGTCTCGCCTCTCTCGTCCTCATAGGGAGAATTATTAGTATGCAAGACAGATCCTCTTTCCTCTCAAATGTCCTCATACTTTTCAGGGAAAACCATATGCCTTCTTGTGTCTGATTAACTCTCTGACCTACTGGGGTGGTGGCTGAGTGGTTAGCATTTTGGCATCTCAGCAAGAAGGTCCATGTAGTAGTACTAGTAGTAGTGGTAGTAGAGCTCTTACACATTTTACATCATAGAAGAACGAAAACTCCTAATATTTATTATATTATGTATATTTCTATGAACAAAATGTCCAGCTGCTTGGTATGAAACCAAACTGTACAATGTTTAATGATGTTTACTTTTATTATTTCTTGTTGCATTCAGGTTTCAATGTTTATGGTGAAGTAAATGGTGTGGTTGTTTTCTTGATAGAATCAGCTTTAAACTGATGTACAACTTATTTCAACAGACTCTCAGTGGGGGCCGCACTGACTTTAAACTTTGATGTTTACTAGGGCAGGGGCTCCCAAAGTTTTTAAACCCCCCCCCCCACGTGACCGCCCACACCACCTCAACCAGATCATGCGTTGCAGCGACTTTCAATACAAAGTCAATGGTGACACGCGTAGGCCTGTCACGATAACAAATTTTGCTGGACGATTAATTGTCTCAGAAATTATTGCGATAAGCGATTATATTGTCGTTCTGAGACCATTTGCATAGATTACAATGATAATGCAGGTACACCTTTTCAAAGAGAAATAAACTTTTATTTTTAACAAATATTTAACGCTAGAACACAATAAACTGATTGTGTTTTAGATGCATATGCAAGTTTGTTGTGTTGCCGCTTTTAACTGCAACTGTTTTCCAACAAATGCGACACACCGAGTCGCACATGTTCAGTGGTTCACAACGGGCATTCGGTTTAAATCCGAAATGCTCCCACACTGCAGCTGTCGCGTTTGGCTTGGAAACCAATTCCATCG